TAAAAGTGATGAACAGAATCGGTGACAAAGGGCAGCCTTGGTGGAGTCCAACTCTCACTGGAAACGAGCTCGACTCACTGCCGGCACTGCGGACCAGACTCTGACACCGGTCATACAGGGACCTGACTACTTTTTAGAAATGTTTTAGAGTGCAAAGGACAGCCCTCATGGATATTTAATAACAGAAAGTTTGTCCTACCAAAAGCACACCAAAGTATGTGAGATGGTCACAGGAACAGGTGACATGACTCTGATTACGATCCCAGAGGGTAAAACATCCATCCACACTAAACTCTGGTAAATCAGAGACAGAGCAGTTTGTTAACTTAAAGACAACGTCACATGTTCATCAGCACATAACAACTCTACGAGAAAGTCTATTTATGTCCGATCCAACAAATTGAGTAATGATTTTTCATGTTACTACGCGAGGTTCATGTAGGAGTTTATGCTTACTTTGTGTTGTAGTATTTAAGAACACACACTCTGGCCTCAGGGTTTCCTAAAACACAAAAATACATTGTTTAGTGAATCTTAGCATCAGATTTTAATTTTGACTTATCTTTACTAAACCTGATCAAACCTACATTCTGAAACAACATAAGGTTTAAGCCCGAGTTTAACAATACAGTGGGGAAATGACATGATTGTTACATTTATGCTTGTTGTTAATTTTATGGTGATGTTGACTCGTTCCTGAAGTCCTGAAATGGTCTTGCATCGCACGCTCAGGCCAATCAGTTGATGATCATACAGTTTATCTGAGAGCTCCAAAGCAGCCTACAAAAGGAAATGAAGTCAGTTTATTTAAAACGGTACCTGCAATTGATTCTTTCATGTTTGAGAAACCCTTTAATCTCCATGGCAACCATTCAGCTGAGCAAAATGCCTGGGTGGACCGAGCCCCACCTCTGAGGCACAGAAGGCTGCTCAGAGCTGCAGCTTCCCCACTCAGCTCCTTCAGACTAGCCAGCAAACACCTTGTGGAACTGCGCATCAGCTGAGCTCAATATAGGAGCTACTTCTCCTATAAAACGTTGTTAAAAGGTTAATATAGGATGTTCTGATGAATTCCCGAAGGCAGCATTTCAGAAAGAGCAGGAGTTTATAAAGGGACAGAGGCCCAATGTCAATTTAATTTAATTTACAAAGACACATTTCTTTTAAGTCATATTTTATGTATATGAAGCATTTTTATGTATATAAAGCAACAACTGAAGATAACATGGTTACTTGATTAAATTTGATTGCACAATGTGCCTAGAAAACACAAAATACTGCCCCTTGA